AGCGCTGTCCTCGAGACAGCCTGGTCCCTTCACCTGATGAAGGCCGCTTGTGTTGTGGCCGAAAGTCGTGATTTTTGTTGTTTTATTTTTTACCTACGTGGTGACTTTACCGAATAGAACCAAAGAGTACGTTGTCAGATGACCAATCGGGCCCAGAATCTGCGTTTGTTCACGTGGCAACTTTATTTGACTCCAAAAAAGCTATTATGAATCGTATCCAACCACGTCTTACATACTGTGTACATAAAACATAAAATAACAGAAACAGTAACACAGTTTTGCATATATATTTTATAAAATTAGATAATTTTAATGGCAGCAATCTTATCTATAATGTACTTACAAATAACATCACCACTACATTATTGTCCACTGAGCCACTATGTTTGCACATTAATGGCACATGTTGATCATAAACACATTCCCTCTATCAGTTTACCTGCGACAGAGCATACCGTATTGAAATATTAACAATATATATTAAAAAGAAAAACACTTTTGAAATGATTTTGACAATTTTACAAAATTATCTATTCACACTTGACGTGTTTCGTTACGACACTTGCTGTGCCGTGAGAGATGTTTTGTTTAACCGACTAGAGCATAGCTCCTGCAGGGCGAGCGTGTGTATGGAAGAACAAAATTGGCCCAGACAGGTGGAATATCTGAAAACGGATTAAAGCGTAGAAACGTAACCCCCCCCCCCAACAATTGATTGCTTGCATTACTTCTGGCGAAAGGGCTTCCACTTACAGGGAGCTCTGGACAAGTTCCCCTCTATCAGTTTTTTTTTGGCCTACTCTCCCATGATGGCCAATACACCTTGGAAGAGGTGGGAGCATCAGGCACGCTTTAACCCCGCCACACGTGACCTGCCGATCGCGCATGCATGCTGCTGGGTAGACAAGAGGCCCAGGAGGATTTAAGAGACTGGCACCACTGTTTCAACTGCCGTGCTGGAACATCCAACGGGAGACTTGTGGGTTGTGAATCCAGTTTGTTGACCATTACCTTCACGGCAGCATCCCTGGTTGCATAACCCAAGTCGGGTATCCCTTCCGTGGAGACAAGTATCTCGGAAGCCATTCAATGGTAGGTTCAAGGAATCCTGACTGGTTGGGAATGTGTGGAATTGACCCACCTAGTGGTTCAGGGCTGCCAAAGGCATCGAGTGCCACTCTAATGCTCATATCGTCAGCGAGACAGTTTAACTTGACTTGTATTTGTCTGTACATAATAATGAGTGATAACATCCTGTACATCACAATCCTTGTAGGGGGTAGTGAAACATTGTATGGTAATGAAATCCCCCGTAGATTCAGCAAATCTGTAGAGTTAATGGAATCCTGTATTCGAGCACATTAAGTGCGAGGGGTTACATAGTTTAGGATACACCGACTATATTCTGTAGGACCCAGTGAGGTGTAGGTTCCGTGTAGTATTGAGACCATATGACGTGCTATCGTCCCAGGTGAGTTCAACCGCTGCCCGTTAGTTAACTCAGCCCCACCATCCTTCCTGAGGTTGATCAAAACGTTTACCAATTTTTTTTGCGGAAGTCAACATTAGTCAGCTTGTGGCGAGAATGGCCCCTTGTCATGGTAGTGTGGAATTGATGCCACTGGCTCAGGTTTGCAAAATAGAAAAGCGTGAGCGCCTCCCCACAACTCCTCAGAGCACGGATACAGTTTCACCCACCCCCTTTTGTATTAGAAGCCCACTCCGAAATGCGTAACCGCTCTCTTCACATTTACAATCTGAGAAGTCACAGGGGAAGTCAGACAAGGTCACTGAGAGAGAGAGAGGTAATGTCGTAATGTCTGGATGCGACAACACAGCTTGCTGTTTAGGTTGTCGGCAGAACTAAAAAAAAGCTGCTAGGATTCCATGCAACAGAAATACATACCCAGTACTATACCGACAGAGTACCCCATTATAATAACTGCGTGGTAAATTGTGTGTTGTATATTGTAGCATAATCATTATTGAATAGCATGACCGGTGGGTGAAGCGCCAAGTATTGTATCAGGGTAAGTGAATACACTTTCCCCCATTCTCATCTCTAAGTACAAATTGTACTGTGTATATATTTAGGTATATCGGACGATTGATCTCCCATTGTTTAGCCAGAAGCGTTTTGCTTAAGCTCTGGCTCACTTTCGAGTTGTTGGGCCTCATCAGTAGAATCAGATTACTAAACACTTCATGCTGGTTTACCAGACACTGTTGGTGAGGACATTATTTCTAATCACACTGCTGGCTATATTATGAATATGTAAAAGGAAAGTATCTAGAAATCTCTGTTGACTGGCTTGCATAACCGCAGACGTGTTAGAACCGGTTTTTACAATGGAGCTCTGTTGTGATGATACAGTAATACTGTAGTAATAATAATAAGAATATGGCATGATATTTTCTGGATACTACAATTTTATATTGTATTATCAATCAATATTAAACACAAAGGACAAGGATAACAAAATATATAAAACAAGCCGCTAAGCCACTCTATTAAATGAGGATCCACAATTTGCACATTTTATTGCCATATGTAACTAAATGTACGTGTATTTGTATTACGACATATTGTGAATTGTTACTATATAAAATTTAGTGGCATATACAATCACATCGCATGTGATGTGACGATAATCAGTGGCCACGTTGTAGATGTTCTACCTTGGATTAGGAGCATATCCAAGGCAAACTATTTGCAAGCTAAAAACAAACTCTACATATTGACACATACCACCTCCATTTTATAAATGTAGTTTACCTGTTTTCTATTTAGTCACTTTTCAATCGACAATAAATGACTGCAGGCCATTATTATCTGACTGCAAGCTCGCTGGGTATCTTGTGTAATGAGATTGTATTGTCGGGTTTTCACTGTGAGAAACGCAACACGCAGACGCAGGGGCGGAGCCAGGATTTTGACTTTGGGGGGGCTGACTGCAATATTCTGAGATATCCAGTTTATGTTTTGCAATGGGCGCCACAAATGTATAAAACACATTTTATTGGATTTGAACGCGGAGTTTATTAATAGGTCGGAGACGCTGATGTGGCTAATAAGTTCGATAAGTACGAAGGGCTGCCGTTCAAGCAGCCTGCAGGGCAGCACAAGGTGGCAGCCTGCAGGGCAGCACAAGGTGGCAGCCAGCAGCATTTTGCAGCAGCCGGATATCCGGTTATCCTGATTACCGACTTTCCTAAAATTTCAGGGGAGGCTGAGCCCCCCCAGCCCCCCCCCCGTCCCCCGTGGCTCCGCCCCTGGCAACACGTTAATGTTTTCAGGGAAATAGCTTCTTTTTATCATAGCAGAGAGAAAAACAGGGCAGCAGATAATGACATCTTTTTTTTTAATCGACAACTGAAAATAAATTGTCATTTATTACGTTAAATCTATTTGTCAAGTCCCAATAATCTGCATTCCTCCCTCAGTTGTGCCCTGTAGAAGGGCCATTGTCGAAAACGATGGATTCAAAGTTGTTTTCATGGGGTGCTGATGAGGAAAGTACTGCCAATGCTGTTCAGCAGCTTGAGCCACAGAGAGGCACTATGGCACCAACACTGTTGGAGGTCAGCAGTGCTGGGCACCAGACAGACTCCCCTCTCACCATAGATATGTCTAATTTCCACCAATGGCTCAGAGCCACCACTGGAAATGAGCACAAATCTATGCTCGTCTGAGCAGGGATAACGATTTGACTTGCCTCGTTTCTAGGCCAGTGCTAGTATATTTGCTTTTTTAAATACAGCATACATATTTAAATATCCATTAAATCCAATCTGTTATTGGAGTTATGTGTTATTGGTGAACAAAAAGTGCCCTAACCGAGCTCCTTCAACCAGGGTATCGCCTTGGAGGATGACACTACAGAACTACTGCTGTAGTCACATCGAATGCCTCTAAGACCCAAAATTAGATGTCCTCCAACTTACCACATTTTGTCAAAATGTATAGCAACAACGAAGTGTCACGCTCAAATATGTGCTATGTGCATTGGTCAAATTAAGTGAATAGCCACATTTATTTATATTTTTGAGAAGTCATCATCGACAACTGAGACCATCAACTGACTACATTAATAACAACGTTTAATCATAGATGGCTAGACCCAGAATCGAACCGAGGTCTCAACCATTAAGTGTTTTTTTTACATACTCGCCTAGACTCAGGGGCAGACCAGTGAACAATGCCACCTCCGATTAGCACGGTTGTCTACGTACGGTGCATACGAAGTTCAACACACATACATATGGATCCTCAGTCAATGAAAACAGTGGCCAGCAGAGTGGCGCTGTGCTAACACTTGTGCCTCACTGCAAGAAGGGCCTGGGTTTGATACCCGACTCGGTTACCTTTCAGTCTGTTATCCCCCTCTTTTGCAAGGTTTTCCTCCGGGTTTTCCCAGCCCCCCCCCTCCCCCTACCCCGACAACAACAAAATACCCAAAAGCTAATCAAGGTCCAAATTTGCCCCGAAAAAATATCATCCAAAAATTAACTCACACAGCAATCAATGTCCCCCTTACTGGCAGACTACCCCCATCGCTGAGCCCAGGGCGTTGAGTCGCCTTGTGCCGCGCAAGGGACACAGCAGCTGCCAATGGGTGGTAGGGGGATCTTCACTCTGAGACGTTTCGTGACGTGATAGAATGCAAGTTCCTTCACTCCTTTAGACATAAACTATATATGGCTAAGAGAACCTGTGTCTATACTCTATACAACCACACAACTAAACGCTGACAAGGATCTCTTATTTGAAAAAAAAATGTTGCATTCATGAAACTGGCCAGCATGTGTCACTACGGTACTAAAAAGTATCAGACACACGACGTTCGTAAGATCCCCTTCCTCTAAGTGCCACCCAGTACGCCACAACGCGGCTGAGTGTATCCCTTACCCGAGCCATAACTACTGTATTGCCTTTAACTTAATGAGGCAACGGGTTCTTGAACACTTTTAGAACTGTCCGTGCCCTCTCGTTTGCTTCGTTATTTATTTGCCAAACTCGACGCCATTTGAGTTCCCAAGACAATCAAAACCCCCCCAACTGGAAGCAAACCGCCAACGACCACGGACCCCCAAATCCTTGCATGGTTTGTTCTCCAGCGTGCATCTCGTTCGTTTCTTTGACTCTCCTCGCACCTCATTTCAGAAACAGCTGTTACAACCATAACAACAACAAAAACCCCACCAACAACAACAACCAACAGATGCAATTTGTGGTTGTGCGAAGACACAACCTAAAAAAATATATAATGCTCAGTCTTATTTCGTGGATATTTGCAGAGTGTAAGCTTGACGTCACGCACGTGCTTGGGGCATATTGTGAGATCACAACAATGCTACATAGCGGCCTCCTGTGGTGTCACAGGGACGTTTTTTGAGTCCTCTCGCTTCCAATTAACGATTTAACTTTCACTTTTTTACCACATAAGGTCCACTGAGATATATATATCTCTTTTTCAGAAGTGAACTGGCCAAAAAATATATCTCAACGAAGCGGCTTATCGTGTGTACATTCATAGCAGCCAAATTCTATAAACGCATGTTGATTCTAAATGTGGAGGGGAAAACCGGACAACCAGGAGAAAAATCCACACGACCACGGGGAGAACAGGCAAACTCCATAATAGAGGTGTTTGGTTAGATCGTGTTAAACTGACTAACCTCTATGGGAAGGATACTTTTCTTCAAGCAAGAAAAGTGAAGAAACTCGGTATCAAGCGGATGAAGCTGTCTTCTCAAGAGATGCAGAGATTCAAAGGTAATACCAAACGCAGTCAAAGTAACTAATCACATTCAGTCACTTAAAGCTAACCAAATACTACGTAACGCTACTGAATTGTTAAAAGATGCAATCTAACCCAAAGACCTCTATTATGAATCATATTTATCTCAAACTCCTACGTGTTAAAATGGCAGCTCAAGATATATATAGGCGTCAGGGTCAGGATTGAACCCACGACCTCCTATATACCAGGCGAGGTAGTTAACGTCTCGCCACTGTGGCACCCATGAGCTCAGACCAGATATCTCACTTGTCGTACAAGCCTGAGGTGACACAACTTTAGTGGTTCCAATTTCTTCATGTGACCATTATGTTAGTCGGTTGAAGAAAAAAACAACCTCGTATTTGCCCAGTTTGCAAAAGAAAACTCATTGTGAATTGAAGGAAATTTCATTTCAGGAAATGTGAGCAATTGTCCACAGGATTCCAATGGGAAACCACGATGATGACACTCTAACCTACGTGTGGCAGGTCAATCTGTGGTTGTTGTTGTTGTTGTTGTTATTCACAGGAGCATGTTTGAACAGGGGGCTACCATGATGATTAACTAAACAATAAAACTGTGAACCTAACAATTAAACAACTAATTCACAATTCAGAATAACCTACATTTACTTGCAGGGGCATCCGTTGCATACACGTATAGCGGTTTGTGATTGGCTAGAGGTGGGGGGGACTCCAAGACGCCCCAGCATGGCCCCTATTCGCATGGCTGCGAATCAGCCAATGGGAAACCGCCCCCTCAACGAGTACATAATTAGTAATTTCTATGTGCCCTTCGTGTGCTGCATCGAATGTTCGGAGCCGATTCTATTTGAATTGATTCAACTGAAAATAGATTGATTGAGAATCGATTTCATATGCCGTGAGGAAATTACTGTTCAAACTTTTTTAGATATATATTTTTAAGATACATTTTGGTGGGCCGCCACTCTAATGCCCCACACGTACCAGCCGCCATTGGATTTAGTCTGCCACGTCACTGGACCAATGTAACATAAGAGCAAACAGGTTTATTTCGCACGATTGAGCAACAAATATGTTGCTGGGCATCACTCTGCTGTTCCTGATGCGATTGTCTGGCTTGACCACCTGAATGTGAAATTGTAGTTCTGCATCTGCACCAGCAGCCCATAAGACGAGAAGACTGGTCCAGAACACCCATGGCTGGTAGGCCAAATTATGAGTTTCCATTTCCGTGGTGAGACCATTGCTTTGTCCGTCCTTTTTTTGGGTTGCGTCTTCCTTTAAGTTTCCACAAAGCAAGGTTTCACAAACATTCGCAAACCCACCCGTCACGTCCCATGCAAAACTGCACGTTTCAGAGTCCCTCTATTACAGCTCAGTATTTATATTAAACAAAATTCTTCTCTCGGCGAGCCTTATGTCAAACACAAATAAAAGTATTGTTATATACAGCATGTATATGCATGTGTATATGTGTAATTTTATATGCCTATGGTACATATTCTGTACATATGGCGGGGGTAAAGCACAACATTGGTAGGGAATCAAGGCGTAACAAATCTTGAGATTTAGATTTTAAATTGACACGCTAATAATATGTTACGCATTGACACGTTAATAACTTAATTGGGCCCTCCATTCTCAGTGACATCAGCCGTACCTGGTAAGACTGAAATAAACATGGTGGGAAATTAACAACAGTTGTCCTTTGGAATACCCCACTCCTGCAAGAGGAAATATGGAAATTCCAAAAATGGTTGATTGTTGTAGGTGAACACTCAATGGTTATTAGAGCATAGTGACACTGATTTTATAGCATATATACCATAGGCGCATATTCCACTGTGTATGTCAAGTACAAGTATATGGCATATGCACACACATATAAAACATATATGTATGCATACGCATGCATATACACAATACTGCTGGAAAATTAAAGCGTTTCGAACATAAGGCAAATATGGTAAACACACACAACGGATAAATACAGTTATGTACGCAATTCGTAAATAGACGGCACATTTATCTCGATTAAACAAAACGAAAGAGTAAAATTAATTGTACTGTACTGGAACGCCTCTGTCATTCCTCACTGAAGAAAATGTGAAACCGAACTTCTGCTGCAGAGGCCGGGAGGCACTCACAATCACAAGGTCACAAGTTCAAATCCTGGTCCGGGATCCGACCCAGCCCACCATCCCTCCAGGGTTAATAAAATAAGCACAACTTTGGGTGGAAAGTCAACAGTGGCTGCCTCGTGGATGAACTGCCAAAGTGATATAAAATCTCCGCTGCCGGCCCACGGCAGCTAGCGTAGCTGAGCGTCGCCCCACGCGAATGCGAGCGTCTCGTCGAAGTACATCTGCGGGGATTAAAACTGGTTTACGTTGAAGCCGGTCAGCAGGCGGGTGAGCGAGCAAAGGAGCGGTTGGTCGGGCGGGTTGAGAGCACGAGCGAGCGAGCATGCGCGCAAGTCCGGTCACGTCTCCGTGTAATGGTGGTAGTGATGGTGGTGGTGGTGCTCGTGGAAGTGGTGGTGCTCGTGCCGCTGCATCAGAGGCATCGCCGCGTCATACGCTCCACCGTAAGCGTCTCCCTCGCCCGCTACGGGCAGCGGGAGTGCAGGCCCAGGCGCCAGCCCGTAGCGCCCGTGCGCCTCGCGTGACCTCTGCCGGTGCTTCTTGTTGCCGTGCTGCTGCTGCTGCTGCAGTTCGGACGGCGATGCAAGCACCGGGGCGTACACGCTCTGTGACTGCAACCGGAGGGCTTTTCCGGATTTGGCCGCAGCTGGTTTGCCGTGGACCCTCGGCGAACGCGCAATCAGCAAAAGCTGCTGCTGCTGCTGCTGCTGGGTTCGAGCCTTGCTCGCCAAGGCCTCGCCCTGCTGCCGGTTGAGTGGTGGCGGCGCGTCACCGCCTTGGCCGACGCCGGCGTCGCAAGCGTGCGGTCGATGGCTGCCGCGCGGGCCGTGACTCTCGGGCCCCTGCGAGTGCGAGCGACCGTGGGGCTGCGTCGCCTTGCTCTGTTGCTCCTGCTTGGTGTTTTCTGGTGTGTCTGCACAGATGCACACAAAGGGAAATCCCCCCCCACCACCCCCATCGTTATAAATCCCCCCCCACTTAAATGCCAAAGCATATCAAAGCACCTTACAACATATTTCTCGCATTAAGGAGCATAAACCATCACGTGAACTCTGGTCATCCTTGCAGCAGAGGGTTATGGGTGGTCATTGAACAAAGACGGTCATCGTATCGTGCGCTTTCAGATGCGCTTCTGCGGCCGTCTGGAATGCTCTTTCTTCCGATATTAGGAAACCACTGGAGCTATGCACTTTTAAATCTAGATTGAAAACTCATTTCTTCAGAACTGTTTTCGTGTTTAGTTCATTCTCCTCCCCCCCCCCCCCCCGTACCTCCGATTAGCACGGCTGGCTACGTATGGGCACGAAAGACGTTCAGCATACAATCATACACATCTCATCTCAAACATTTGAACGGAGGCACCCCCAGAAGGCCGTATTTAGGTACCGAAGTAGCTCTGGCCTACTTGGACCTGGTCATCGTGGAAACACGGTTTGAACGCACCTTCCTCGAAGCGCGACGTGTAGTTCTCAATACCCGCGAGGTCCAGGTAATGGTTCCGCCGCTCTATGTTCTCGTCCAGGCAGTAATGGTGCCGCGTGTTGGCTGGGGGATTCTGGTCACTGTTGTGCCTACTGCAAGCAAAAGCGGAGCGGAGGGGTGAATGTGTGCTTCGCATGCGCATGCTCAAACTATTTGGGCAATTTTTGTATTTAATTTTACCAGGTAAGGCCCACCGAGCTGAAATATATAGCTCTTTTTCAGATGTGCACTGGCCATCGCGAATTATAGCTCAGCGAAGTGGCTTATTACGTGGACATGTATCGCAGTCAAATAACTCTTAAAGGCGTGTTTCGAAATGTGGAGAGAGAAAACCTGACGACCCGGAGAAAAATCCACGTGACCACGGGGAGAGAGACGCAAACTCCAAATACATAGGCGGCAGGATCGGGATCGAGCCCAAAACCTCCTGTACACCAGGTGAGGTAGCTAACATCTCGCCACAATGGCGCCCCGTGGCAGCACTGGCAACAGATGTACAGGCAGCCCCTGACTTATAAACGGGTTCCGTTCCTGAGACCCGTTCATAAGTTGAACAGTTCCTAAGTCAGAACACAACAATATACTGTATTTAAATGCACATACGGTCAGTGTTAAAAAAGTGTGTTAAGGTGCAACAAAAAAGGGAAGCATTATTAAAATTATAAATAAGAATAAATATTGCACCTTTGTATATTTGCCAAACCAAATAGCTCAGAGGTTCTGTTAACGAGTGTGAGTCCACGTTCGCTAGTCGGATGGCCTTACGGAAGCTCGTTCATAAGTGGGGATGCTCATAATTGGGGCATTCGTAAGTCTTAGACTGCCTGTAATCTTATCCAATTAGAAAAATCCGATTACTTTCGTTTCCACCCATCATCTTTCTGGGGTCAATAAGATGAGTATAACTTGGTGGCAAGTCAGCAGTGGCGTTTTGAGAGGATGCGAAATTTCCTCAACTGGCTCAGGGAAGCCAATAGAGAGATGAGCGCGGGTGTAAAAATGCAACAAATTTAACTGCGACCATTCTTTGTGACTGAACTCTTACCGAAGGTTCCGTTTGTCAGGACCACCAACCCCGTCGGGGCTTCCCGTGGCACCGGCCCATGTCCCCTGTACGTCTGTGTGAACATGGCAGGAAACATAGACGGAAAAGTAGACTGATATTCAGACATAAAGACGCATGCAGGCATTCATAGAGACACCCAAGCGAGATTCAGAAATCACTGCTGGAAATCAAATTCAGGTCACCTGATTCAGCATTGCTCGACTGCCTTCCCCCTCAACCCCACAATACATTGACATACAGGCATGCACAATACCAACAACAACAGCCGCAATTCACCGCTAACTGGTGGTGACGTCACCACTGTGCTAGATCCACAAATTCCAAATGACAAAGATCCCCCACATAGCCTTGTGCATGTGTATGTATGTTGAACTTCTTTCGTACCGTACGTAGCCAACCATGCTAATCGAAGCCTTGAACAGATTGTCGGGGCAACTGCTGTCCGCAAGAACTTATGAAGGCCAGCCTGGCACGTAAGAGGGAGGGTGGCCAACAGCATGCCCGGCCGCCTTTGTCTCACCGGTGCTGATGTTTATACACCAGGCAAATTACTCATTTAAGGCTGAGTTGAAATTCGCCACTGATGTCGGCCATGAGCGTGATTGGAACTCGGGACGCCGGGTTTGTAGCGCAGTGCACTAACTGCTGGGCCACCACTCCCCACATTACAACACGTATATATACACACACACACACACGTACGTACATACACATGCTTGCGCTGAGACATACCCACGTGCAAAAAACGCACGGCAACTCACAGCGATACGCTGACACAACCAAGGACGTAAAAACAACATCAATGGCATTATACACATTGCTGTGCTGTCTAGGCTGTTAGCGAGCACCCATTAAGGAGAGCGCAGGATATGCAGGGATGATGCTATCAACACAACGCACAACTGACCACCTTTATCTCATCCGTGGCGATGTTTGCACACAAGGCACAATTGGCCTCAGAGATATCTGCAATGGGTTCGGATACCACTTGCCGCTTACGATGTGCATGGCGAGAGATTTAGTCCAAATAACCAGAATAATGACCGGAATCCTCATAACTTTCGTTATGAGGATTCAAATCCTCATATTTGAATCCCAGCCATGGCTCATAACGTTTCATTTTCGGACCAAATTTTATACGTGAATTTCCATCAGTAGTATGTGGAATCTGAACCTATTACTGATGATCCCCTAGATTAAATCAGCCTTAAATAAGTACATGACATTCTAATGTGCTGCGCCAGACTAGAACAGGCCTGTTAATAACACTTGTCTCCACAGTCTATATGGCTAAGAAGGTATGATCGTCGTGAATTAACAATTTCACGGTTGAAAATACGATATAAGACCCATGATAATGGCATCGTCCATTTTTCTCAGTGTCATCATAACGTGAGTATTGCTACTTTTTTATATATATATTTGACTTCCTAACAAGAAATTATGAAGTAAAAAAAATGACAGGTTCAAATTAATAATTAAACGAAGAAAATAAATTGCGATTACCATGTAAATTAATGAGTTGTAAAATGTTTCCTGAAGTGATTGATGTTATGGTGGTGATATGACATCATAAATTCTATAGTTAATTTACTTTCGTTAATTGTTTCTTGTATAACTGAAAGCATGTGCTTTAGAAGTGTCACAGATTGTAGGGTTGCAATGATTAGAAGACTTATTGCAGGCTAAAGTCGAGTGAACGGCCGTTGAACAACTTTTAAATGAATCCTTAATCATACGATAATTGCACCAAAGAATAAAAACAAGAAGATTAAAATATGAAACACAATTACGAGGTAATGTAAATAAAACATCATGATCGTCATATCGTGAAAGTTAATATCGTATCGCAAAAATGAAATATCGGCCTCCCCTAAAGGAAGGAGGGCTCTCTGTATTTGCCGCAGACACAAACACTATGAACTAAACTATTAAACTCTTTTACCAGATAAGGCTCACTGAGCTATACAACTCTTTTTCAGAAACGACCTGGCCACAAATGATAGCTCAATGAAGCGGCTTAGCACGTGGTGATTTATAGCAGCCAAATACTCTAAACACGTGTTTCTAAATGTAGAGGGGGGAAAAACCAGAGGACCCCAGAGAAAAATCCACCCGACCACGGGGAGAGAGAGAGAGAGACACGCAAACTCCAGATACACAGCAGGCGTCGGTGTCGGGATAAAAGCCACGACCTCCTGTATACCAGGCGAGGTAATTAACATCTCCTCGCCACCAGGGCGCCCACATGGGGAGACGGGCACAGCAGGGGTCACAGCGGCGTGTCAGTACCGGTATTCGCTCGTCGCCGCTGGCTCGGGTCTGGCGTGACGCTCAGCTTCACTCGCAGAGTTTTGCTGTTGTTGGGGGAGTGGTTGACAGAGTTGTCCACCACCTCGTAGATTGTGTGCATCAGCCCGGCAATATCCTGGGGGAGGCATCATCATCATTAACATCACATATGTTAGTTTAACTGGTTTTATTGGCTGTGTCGGGTGGTGGCGGCTTTAACGAAACATTTCTATATTTACGCAATCTAGTCCAAAAAAAACTGTTTTGTGGATTACTATCATTACTACTCACAAAAGTTTACCAATATAATAATCACAAACATAATGTTCCCCTGACCATACAGTACAAAAAGTGCTCTGTTGCGTTGACCTAGGAGACACCCACAGACTATTGTACGCGTGTGTGTATCTATAAATATATATTCTGTACATATATATGTACTCAATACGCCTTATGGCCCAAAGTGTATCCTTACTCAAAGAGTGCGAGGCATTGCTCATCTGCCGTTGAGCTGATGGTGGAAATTCCACATTCCAGATGGCAGGTGTAGGATTCCCAGCCACAGATGATATGTGGCAAGCGATAATCTGAAGCCGACCTAGAAACCCCTGGTTCCCACCTCTACCCCAACGTGCACTTCATCCACCAGCAGTTGACAAAGGGCTTTAAATGATCTACTACTATGATTATGAACTCTCGTATTACACATACTACAGGTTAGAAAAAACCCCACCATTAATGCTGCCATAGAACCCAAAAACACGTACATCAGGATAACATTTTAGAAAATGTCTCTTCTTCAGAGCAGCGAGGGTAGGAATGTTGCCTCGTAGTTGGAGATTGTATGTTTTTTGGTACTTCCCGTAACACAGATCAATGCACATTTTTGGACAAGTTCAAATTTGCACGGTTTTCTCGCCTGCTTAGAGGAATTTTGCCATGGAATCTTCTGCTCATGGGAAACGGTTCAGGTGTTCAATACATTTTTTTTTATTTCCCAGCATTTTCAAGCCATTGCACCATCCTGAGATTCAACTCGAGTACATCGCTCCGTCTCTTCGCCATTTCTGCTCTGAATTAGAGCCCACTGATTGAAACGTTAACCTGATACTTTAAATTTGTTCTGTTAAGACGGCAGCGTTAATAATAAAGGCAGTTGGTTTTTTTTTACGTGTCAGTAAGTTGCTGGCCACTAGTGCAGGCCCATTCATGATTTTTTGAACATCCACACGTACAGTTTAAATATTTAATGACACGTATTTTGCGGCATACACACACACACACGCGCGCGCGTACGTGCGTGCGTGCGTGCATGCGTGCGCAGCCACAATTATATTTATACACTCGCGTGAAAACGAAAGGGCATCGTCGCGTGCCAAACTTACGGCTCACAGTTCTCCCTGAATTTTCGGAAACGCAAACAACAAAAATCCCCGCCCTGTCTCTTGTTCATACTCAGCCAAAAAGAAAACACCGCGGGCACGGGCCACCTTGCCCACATTCCCTGGCGAGCGAACGCGAACCCACAGTCGTTTGCCAAAACCCACAAACCCCTCCTGCAACCGCAACAACATTTCGCGCTCGACCACCCCATGCCAAGCCACGTCCCAAATAAGGCTTAGTGGCTCACAAGGGGTATTCCTTAGCTGACCTCTCACGGTGAGACTATAGCCAAAGGCTTGTTTGAAATACGTGGGGTGTGCGGGTTGGGGAGCTACACTATTGCATCTAGAAGCACGTTTCCCTGTTCGTGCAGAAGAGCTCGACAAGTGGTACCGCGCTCTCCGGATTATAAGACGCTCCGGAAAATACGATGCACCGCCAAACTTGGGCCTGTCTCAATAAAGTTATACGAATATGTTCTCAAAGAGTAATATCGCTTGTATAGCCTGAACAGAGTGTTGGGGCAAGAGCTGTGAGCGAGAACCTATGAAGGCCGGCACGGCACACGAGGGAGTGAGTGGCCAACATGACACTGGACCGCCTTTGTCTCTCCTCAGTGGTGATGTTTACACACCACACCAGGTACTTATTTTGTTGAGGCTGAGTCGATCACATAATCGTCACTGGTGTTGGCCGTGAGCGGGAATCGAACTAGGGTCGGCGGATTCGTAGCAGCAGCGCGCTAACCGTTACACTACCGCTCCCCACAACACGCACCTACCAGATTATAAGAAGCAACCCCCAACTTTTGCATTAAAATACAGGGGAGAAAGTGCGTGTCATAATCCAGGGAATACGGTAAGTTTTATAAGACATGGGTGTACGTAGAGGCAAGGTTGGTAAGTCGTGCAGAGGTGCAAATTGTGGGATGCACCCAAATGTAAGGCAATGATATTGTGACTATCGGAGGCAGTACAGCAAGAAATTCCGTGTGATCTCCTCGTTAGCATGGAGGTGGCTGTTTCTCTAAGCATGAACGATTGCTTGCAAATATCAAGATACTTAAACTAATTCAGGGAAGCATTGCAAAGCAGGACTAAGTTGAAATTGTAAAGTCAATTAAACTTTCCCAGAAGGATAAAGAGAAACAAATATATCTAACGCTAGGAGGTGGGGGCTACAAATATAGTTGTGAACATTCCACGAAGTTGGGATCTCATTCCACCAAGTCAAGGACTCATGTAAACACATCATTCGACTCAATAAGCAAGGCATAACACATCTTTGCTGAGGAATGTTGGACATATTTTGTGATGCAATTGTGTTTAAAAAAAAAGTTGGAGCGTCGTGTCATCTTCTAATAGGTAAATACAATTGCTTCACTAAATTGCAAAGGCAGGAGAGGAGATGCCACGTGAGGGAATGGCTCAGAAGATGACACTGCAGAACGAATTCTGGAGTCTTTTCAACGGGCCTCCCTCTCACTCAACACTAGATGGCAGTCCGTCGCACTTTCCTGTGCTATAATTATGGCCATTATGCCATTACGTGTTCACACATTTTCGCCTTCACACATGACGATTGCCAAATTATGCAAATTAACCAATGTGTGTGTGTGTGTACGTATGTACGTCGAACTTACACGAGTATATGTGCTGTGTGCAATCGTTAGTCATAGCTGTCAAGCCACACGGTTTACCCCGTATTCGTGTACAGGGAAATTGAGTTTTCAGTTCCCTACGGCGTACGACCGTTTCAATACGGGCAAAACGAATGTATCTATTTGTTTGTGTTTCTTCCTTGCGATGGCGCTTTGTAGGATGAACGCTGAGATGGATAAGGGGCACGGGGTGACCAATAAGGTCTGCACTGGTCTGTAATAAGGTAGGGCACTGACAAGGGGTTGTTGACAGGTGTGCGTTATTCATTGCCATTGCTGCCCCGGTGGAATGGTGGAATGGTCAGAGAGGCCGCTCGTTCAATTGCACAGGGCAGCAGGTGACACCAAGGGGCGAGTTTCTTAAATCCATATCCCTCTGTCCACCCAGCAATATAAATAGTTACACCACAGGGAGGAGGCAATCATCAGGTCGCGTGTTGTGGGATCAAGTGTGGCTACTCCCCGACTCTTGGGCCAACGTGGAAGAGTAGGCTAAGGGACCTTCTCGAGGGCCTCACGAGAGTTTCTCATGGCGGAGACTCTTCCGCCAGTAGTGGCGTGAGAAAGGCGTTGCAGGGCTGCGCCGCTACCTTGCACTGATCTGTGGGCATCAGACTTTCTATTCTTGAAAAACCTGTTTAATTAATCAGCAGCTGTCTGGACTTGAACCCAGGGTTTAAGTGGTGCCCAACTCAGTGCGCTGGCAAGGCCCATTATGAGCCCGCCTGTGGCTATTCAGCCATCTCTTACCATGGTAAACCTGATAACCGGAACACAGCCAGTCAATCCAGAGGCTTACTTTCGAGGCAAAAACAAAGCGAGTCTCGTGTCATTGCTCCGTTAAACAAAACGAGTGTGTGCAGTACAACATGTGGCTCGTAAACCAGCATGGAAACACAATGTCGGAGGAAAATGCAGCCTAACGTTCGGGGTAGGGTAATGAGTCTGCCCACACCTGACTCCAGTAAAGCTCGGTTTAATGCAAGGCACGCATTGCATTTGTGAACTGGAGGGATATATGCCCCACGTTGCCTGCTGCTGGAGATTTGTGCAGTTTCATGGCCTCTGTGGGGAGAGTCGTTTGCACGTGGGTTGGTTTAAACTGGAGCCGTTTTAAAAACGTGCGTGTGTGGGTTTTATATTATGATTATTGTATATACGCAGCACACAGCATGTAAAGATTAAGGTAATGTATTGTATAGGGGTACAAAGCACAAAAACATAACCGCCCCTTCATCACTTCTAACGACATGTATACACAGTATACACTCGGCTAATGTTTGAGGCAGTGGCCCTTCTTGCAGGCAGACCGAGAGAGAGAGAGAGAACAGATCGGCTGGGAGAGCAACATTCAAATCTTGGCGAAGGTTCATGCTTTGTCTGATTTCACTGGGGGAGCAAAACACGTTCCAACGTCTCCGTTACCAGCAGTGGCGGAAATCGCCAAAACGACGATGTAAACTAAACTAAAAACTAAACTTTTTTTTATTTTACCAGGTAAGGCCCACTGAGATATATGGCCCTTTTTCAGAAGCGACCTGGTCACGAATGATAATTCAACGAAGTGGCTTATCACGTGGAAATTGATAACAGCCAAATACTCTGAATGCGCATTGATTCTAAATGTGGAGGGACAAACCGGAGGACCCGGAGATAAGTCCACGCGACCACGGAGAGAGAGAGACACACAAACTCCAAATATACAGGCGTCAGGGTAGGGATCTACCCCGTGACCTCCTGTATACCGGGCGAGGTTGTTAACATCGCCACCGTGGCACCCCGTTGTGTTTCAGCTGTCATGAATCCGGTGAGGTGCGGCCTTCAACGACGATCACACTCCACCGGCCAGATGGGACAGTGACAGAACCATTTAGTGCCCACTTGGGAATTGACAGGGCCCACATCCTCATGGGGTCAATAAAATCAGTACCGCTGTGTGGTGTAATCCACGGTGATTATCCTATGCCGGGACTGGCCATTGCCAAGGGAATGTCGGAATATTCACTCCTGGGACAGGGCCATCAACAGGCTTATGAATAAGCACTCTTTCATGCTTGTTTGAGCAGAGAGGCTGTCAATTATGCGTATTCAATGGACAGCAGATTTGCTATTATTATTATTGGGGAACATTTTTTTAATGCGTGCAGCTTCATATTGCAGATGCTCGGTGAATTGTTACATTGCAGGATCGTGAGAGGTGACACCAGCTTGAGGAGACCTTCATCCAGCAGTGGATTGACCATGGCTGATTGATGATGATGATTTTCCAGTGCAACAATGATTCCAAATATGTATGATATAAATGAGAGAGGATGAATGTCAACAATTGATCTGATTAAATAGACGGCATTGGATTCAATCACATTGAACGGAAGCAGATGACGGTGTAGAGCTCTGTAAGCAAAGGTTTAATTTCAGCCAGGTCTGTCTGGGTTGGCGACCCGGAAATTAATTCCATTCTCGGGACACCGCATCCATAATACCCGCTCGCTACTCATCATGTAGTTATCTCCCAACGACCTGGGAAATATTCAGTGAGGAATTAAGCCCCCCCACCGCCCGCCGTGCCCCGGCCCATAATAATAATAATCATAGTAGTGCGGCTTACCTCCCGAGTCACTTTCCCACTGTTGTCAAAATCATAGAGCGTAAAGGTCCATTCCTGCCTGTTGCCCTCAGCCACTGAAACATCACATTCCATCTCCTGCTTTCACACAAGTCAAGAACACACACACAGACACGCACACGCAAAAAGGATCCTCCTCATACCCGTCGAAATATCCATCTGACAAGTGCCGTACATCAACATCAGCCAACGTCCACGCTGGCAGTATATACAGATTGAGAACTACCTTCATTGATTAATCAGCTTGCAGATTTTCCTTGTTACAATTCAATCAGCACCCATTAAGGCCTAAATGTGCACGAGAGGTGGAGCGTACAGAACAAAGTCCAGTCGCCTTTGTATTGCCAGCACTGATGTTTGCATACAGCACCAGGTACTCATTTTAGATTGAGTTAACCAAGGATACTTTCGGATACCGCACGTCGTGAATGTGTTTGAATGGGAATAAAACGCAGCTCACCAGAATCCCTGAACCACAAACACAAAGACAAAAAAATATCCCATAGAGGCATATAGACGTTTGGGGCAATTTGCTGTGAGTGAGCAGCCGTGAAGGCTGGCAGGGATGAAATGGCCAGAACCATACCCGGCCACCTCTCTCCCCAGTTCTATTTCCACACAGTACCAAGTAGGACATTTGTTAAGACTGAGTCGAACTAGAGAAAGCCCAGGTTCAGTTCAGATATATACCACTGATGTTGGCCATGAGCAGGAATCAATCGCAGGTTGCCGATGGATACGCATGCATACAAGACAAAGATTCCCCATATAGTCGAAACAGACTTTTGGGGAAAATGCTATTAGCGAGCATTTATGAAGGCAGGCATGGCACACGAGAGGCTGGCTGGCCAGCACCATGCCCGGCCGCCTTTGTCTTCATAGTGATGTTTACAGCACACCGCACTAGTTGGAGCTTTGAAGCTGAGTCGACCAAGGGGAGGCCCAGGACCGGCTCAGATAATCGTCACTGGTGTTGGTCGTGAGCAGGATTCGAACTCGGTTTGACGGGGTTCGTAGCGCAGCGTACTAATCACTGGGTCACCGCAGTGTGTGCATGCGCGGCGCGCATGCACTGTGCATGCGCACGCAAGGACACACTCGCATGCAATGCACGCTCGCGAGTCCCCTCTCTTTGTCTGGATGGACCACTGGGACAAATCCGGAGCGCAAACAGCAATTACGGAGAACAGCTCACGGCAGGGTGGCAATGCCACGCCGCCGAGAGCCGTGTCGCCTGTGATCTGCAGAGTGCCGATATTGACACAAGGCATCAGGCGCTGAACTCCTTTTCAGAATGAGCTCAACTAACAGAGGCCCATACGAGGTTTTCAGACACCAATCTCAACTGATGTTGTACATATATATGCACACACACACACACGCGTGCATAATCAGGATTGAAATATAATTGTAGTAAAAACACAACGCGCTAACCAAACTTCAAAGACACGTCAAGATATGCCGATGACGTACCCAGGAACGTCTCACTGCGCATCACGGCTCTTTTTCAGGAGGGTTCCGTATTGGGGTGTTCGACCACTGTGTCGTTAATGGGTATTTGGCACGTGGGAGGACATTTAAATGACCAGAGAAAACCCATACATGCGAGGGGATAAGACTCAAGGCTCCGCAAACATCATTTATATTCACAAACAGACAAAATAAATGCAATCTACATGTGAATTTCCGTCTGCTTGCCACTTCATAAACTACAATCATATGCCTACAACACCTGCAATGCATTGGTGGTCTGTCATCCAATCACGAGCCCAGGCCCAGCATACCCCATCTTCCGAGATCTGATGAGATCAGATGCGTGAATTTGGCCTTCGGCCGTGCTTTCTTCGTACGTGAAACAGCGATATGTTGTTCATGGACTACCGGTCCAAAAGCCTCTGGATACTGATGATGCTGGACCCATAAACTTCGGTGGCAATTGGCCCACAGGCCTAGATGCTGCCATGCCTACTAGGTAAATAAAAATACATTTGACATATCGCCTTTCACACGAGGCCTCACAGCGCTTTACAATTCAATGGCAGTAAAAAAAAACCTTAACATTAACACTAAGATGGATATGCAAGATAAATGAAACGTGTTTTCAGACGAGCCCTAAAAAACTCGACTGTCGGAGCATCCCTAACGGACCTGGGGCAAGACGTTCCACAAACGAGGCGCCTGACTACTGGAAGCTCTGTCACCCATTGATCACAGATTTGTCCTCGGTACACTTAGGGTGTCCGGATTTGTGTGGATCTAAATTTCCGGACAGGGGTAGCATACGGTTTCGGCAGATCTCTGCCTTGTCAGCGCCGATTGTGTGCAGTGTCGGTATCTGCCCTGGGGTCCCATTCCGTGCTCTCCCCTCGCTCGCCGCTCCGTTGCCGGGTTCTGCTGTACAGCCTCTTCTGACGCTTTGACCGCGCTCCTGCTCTGTTCTTGTTCTGCCCTGGATGAGGCTGCGACATCGCTCCCACCCCTCCTCCCCCCTCTCTGACTCTTCCCCTTGCTTTAACCTGATTGTCCCCCCAGTTTTTCACAACATCCTGAGATGTGCTCGCATATAACTATGTTACCCTATTTGTATTTTTTTTTAAATTATATCTTTAAGCTATTTTATATTCGATATTTATTTAATTTTATATACTTCAGCCCCTTGGTGTTAGACTTTTAACCCTTATTATAGTAAGACTTGTTTAAAACTTATTTAAGATTTTAGATTCCTATATGTTGAATGTATGCACCATCCTGCCAAAGTAAATTCCGTGTCGGTGTGAACTTACATGGCGAATAAAACCCTTTCTGATTCTGATTCTGATATATAGATACTGTACGTGTGATTGTTATTAGTAGGAGTCCAGTAAAATTCAGAGTTTGTCATTGTTAATGTGGGAATTGGGGTGGCACTCATCTTCGACCATAGTTAGACATCCAGCGATGGAAATTCCACATTCCCATGGTGGTATCCAGACTATTCATAAGACTACCGCTGTTTGATGTCCTTTCAAAGCGGTACTTACTTAATCGTCCCCAGAGGGATTATGGCCTGAGTTTACCCTGCACTGAAATGTGAAGTTGCAACGTACGCTTGATTCGAATGCTCTAAACACAGCACACCCATGAAGATTATGTGCTGTTAGCGAGCGCCTATTTAGGTGGAATGGCACAAAGTACAAACCGCCTTGCTCGCTCTGGCAATCAGGAGAAGGTTCGAACCAAGTTTATTTTAAAGTATTTTTCGAGTTCGGTAAATTAAAGTTCTGCTATGTCGAAAAATAATATTATTTTTCAATTTACGTTACTTTACCGAAAGAACCAAATAAAGCCTACGTGTTAAACAGAACCAAATAATTTTGCTGTGTCATTTGCTCACAGTTGTGAATTCCTTGCGAGGGAAAATTATTAAGAGTGCCCTCATATGTTGGTGGTTAGTAATGGAACATTCCTCTTTATATATACAGTAGGGGGTGTGGTGGGGGGGTGTTTAGATTTTGCAATCTACCAAAAGTCCATCTCCCTCAGGAATATATAAATAATACTGAGGCGTATTTTGTGGTTGAACGTTGTGTGCCTGATTCGTGGCGGTGCCTTGTGCAGGAGCTACTGTTTGCGGGGAACGTCCGAATGCGACTTTGCATGTCGGTGCCGATGCATGCACAAAGACTAATATATACCGAGAAAGTCAAACGCGTGTAAGTGTAAGCAAACATAAGAGGGAAAGGAAAAACACACACACAAACAATGAAACAAATACACATCATACAGAGACAACGATCCCCCATACAGCCTTTAACAGACTGTCGGGGCAAGTGCTGTTACGAGTCATAATTTATTTTGTTTGTTAGTTAGGCCGCGCATTGATCTGAAGACATTTGTGTTGTTAAGAACCCTTCACCACCCGACGCAGCCAACCAAATTAAATCGTCACGCGGTGTCCAAGTGTGAAAGTATGTGGTCTGATTTCAAATTCCAGCCATGGCTCACATCTTGACTTAAAACTTTCGTGACTGCAGGAATTCATATTCTATGGTTCTTTCGGTAAAGTCACGTAGACAGAAAAATAATAACAATAAAATAATAAATAATAAAAATGAAGAAAAACGTGAATAAAAAAATAAAATTAAAATTTACTTTATTTTCATTTGTATTATTTTATTGTTATTATTTTTTTCTACGTGACTTTAACGAATGAACCATAGAATATGGCTCACATCATTGGTAAGTGATATCTAAACTGCTCCTTGGTCTCCCTTCACCAACATGCACTGAACAGCGTGTTCAATTATGGCCACATAATTCCCACGATGTTGCAGTGTCGGTAGCCCTTCGTCCAACAATGAATTGGCAAAGAGCCTTAATGTATAATTATCATGACTACCATGTAAGTGTGAGTGTGTATGTCGATATAGATTGGTAGCATAGGGATTAGCACACTGTGCTAAAATCCTGAAGGCCTGGGTTCAATTAATGGCCATGCATATCAATGGGCATTGCCTCTCCTTGGGCAGCTCAGTTTTAAATGAATACATTTTTTATTTTACGAGGTAAGGCCCACTGAGCTATGTAGCTCTTTTCCAGAAGCGATCTAGCCACAAATGATAGCTCAACGAAGTGGCTTATCACTTGGAAATTTATAGCAGCCAAATACTCTAAACGCATCTGTCTAAATGTGGAAGGAAAAAACGGAGGACCCAGAGAAGAATCCATCCACGGGGAGAACACACAAACTCCAAATATACAGCAGGTGTCAGGGTCGGGATTTAACCCACGAGCTCCTGCATACCAGGTGAGGTATTTAACACCTCGCCACAACGGTACCCTGTACATAGTCCAGCGTGTGACAATCAGCACTGGAGAGATAAAGGCAACCAGGCATGTTGCTGGGCACCAGCCTCTCATGTACCATGCTGACCTTAATTTGTGTTCATTAACTGCACCTACGCCTACAGAGTTTAATAAGCCAATTATTCGGGTTTTAGCTCACTGTAAAGTTTAAAATCAAATTTTCCAACTAAATTTAGCAATTGGATACATCTGATGGCTGCATTTTAGACACATCTATGATTAGCGCAGTTGGTAACGTACGGTGTGAAAGAAGTTCTACGTACATATGTACATCAGATTGCTAAATTTGGTCGTGGGAACTGTTCAGGAATTAATGTGGCCAGATCACTACGTGACCTAACACAAAAATCTATTGCAAAATGCGATATTGGCTGCACCACGCCGAGCTGCCTCTGTCTACCCACTGTTGATGTTTACACACCGCACCAGGTACTCATTTAAGGCTGAGTTGACCTAGGGTATGGCCAGGACTGGTTGAGATAATCGCCGGGTATTGTGGTTAAAAAAAACATAGAACCGACGCAGGGCACACACGCAATCCGCGTGGACATAATAGCACTGCCACATGGACACGATGGCACATGGACACGATGGCACATGGACACGCTGAGATCAGCCTCATGGAACACAGGAGGCGCGTGCTTTTAGGAAGCACCAAAAATCAGCGCAGCAACATACCAGGCTCACTTTATCTCCCGCAGTGTCGGCATTTACACACATTCATGGCTGAGTCAACCCAGGAAACGCCTCGGGCAGTTTTAGATATCGCATGCCGCCGATGTATTTTGCTAGGACTCGAATGCAGGTCACCAGAATGATTAGTGCAGTGCGATAACCAATGAGCTCCTGCACCTTACAGTCATACGAGACAAATACCCCCTTATAAGGCTAAACAAACTGCTGTGACAAATGCTGTTCGCGAGCAGCACAAACGATGAAGGCTGGGATGGCACACGAGCGGGCGAGTGACGATGTTCACGCGCCACAACTCGCAACAATTTGAGGCGGCTGAGTCAACCTAGGTGAGGCCCAGGATTGGTTCAGATAATCGTCACTAATGTTGGCCGTGAGCGGAAATCTCTCTCGGGTTGCTGGGTTGGTAGCCGCTGCTCCCCACAGTCATGCACATGAACACGCACACACATAATCGTCACGGGTACAATCATCTAAGCAGGTGGCACTGTGGCAGTGTGGGGTAAAAACACGCACGTGCTTCCTCAAGCTCAGACGTCGTTGTATGACGGGCGGCCCAAATTCCGGAATTTCATGATTTGTGCAAGTGAAGAGGCTGGCTAAATGATACGTGTGTAAGTATGTGATCTTATATCGAACCCCATCCATGGCTAACATCATTGGTAAGTGATATCTGAACTGTTCCTGGGTCTTCCTTCACCAACGTGTTTAAAATATGGCCACGCAACTCCCACGACGCCACAGTGTGGGTAGCCCTTCGTCCAAAAATGAATTGGCAAAGGCTTTCATTAATAATTATTATTAATACCATGCAAGTGTGGGTGTGTGTCGGTCCAGAGTGGGTGTGTGCGTGTCGATTAGCAAGGTTGGCTACGTACGGTGCAAAATAAGTTCAACATACATACATAGGGAATAGCACACTCCGCTCCAATCCTGGAGACCTGAATTCAATTAATGGCCACACATATCAATGCCAATTGTCTCTCCTTGGTCAGCTCAGATGTAAATGAATAACTAGTGCATTGTGTGACCATCAGCACTGGAGAGACAAAGGCAGCCAGGCACGTTGCTGGACACCAGCCTCTCACGTGCGATGCTGTCCTCAATTGGTGTTCATTATCAGCACTTAACACCCGCCAGAGTACAAGGTTGAAGAGGTCACCAGTGTCTCTGTGTGGGCGTATGTGCACGCGCGCACATGCACACGTGTGCGTGTGTGCACCTGGTGGGGTGCGTAGACATCCCCACTGGGGAGACAGAGACGTGGTGTTGGCCACCCACCCCCTCGCGTGCCGTGCCGGCCCTCATAGGTGCTGCTCGTTAACAGCACTTGCACCCAACAGCCTGTTAAGGCTACACGGGGGGTATTTGTCTTCGTTTGCACTCACGTTAAAGTTGAGCCGTTTCTTGAAGGATGAGTTCAAGGGACCAGAATGAGAACCCAGCTTCTCCTCCTCCACAGGCCTGGGACTCGATCCTTCCCCTCTCTTCTGGAAAACTGCTCAACGCAAAAACACGAACAAACACAAATTCGTACAAACCACCTCTTGCCTAAGTTTTGAAGCGCGAATCAATACACTGGTGGCGAGGTGCAGAGCGTTTAGCACGCCGCGCCAATTAACCTGCGTCCTAAGTTCGATTCCTGGCCTTGGCTAACAGTGGCGACCGATATCCGAACCAGTTATTCACCAATGCTTTGATGCATCCATTAAAATCCTCTTTTATTTTTTTATGCCTTTCAACGTTCAACAAGTGTGCAAGTCCAAAGTATGCAGGCCTATGGAAGAGATACGTAGATGACACTTGCATCAGCTGACCACATGGCCAGCCAGCACTGAACCATTTTTTCAACCACATCAATTCCATACACCCATCCATTAAATTCACCATGGAAGTGGAAAATGATGGCAAGCTACCATTCCTGGATGTTTTGATCGAGAAGAGGCCTGATGGCTCGTTGGGACATTCCGTCTATAGGAAAACCACCCACACGGATTCCTATCTAAAGCCTGACTCCCACCATCATCCGGCCCAGAAGAACTCCCTGATCAAAACACTACACCATAGGGCCCGCTGCATCTCCGACCAGCGCCACCTAGCCAGTGAACTGGAGCACGTACACCAAGCCCTCAAGATGAATGGATACTCAGTCCGCACAATCCGCAAAGCTGTAGCCCCAACCATGGGGAGACAACCATCTTAGGACCCAATCAAAACCATCACCTTGCCATACATAGCAGGTGTTACCAAAAAGATTTCCAAAATCTTAAAACAAACACAAGATCCAGGTCCGATTTAATACAGTACACAAAATCCGTGATTTGATCCCATCTGTGAACGATGTCATTCCTGACATGCAATACCCTGGTGTCTACAAAGTAAGTTGTGTCTGTGGCAGAAGTTACATTGGGGAAATGAAACGACATGTCTCGGACCGTGTTTGCGAACACAAAGCAGATTGGAAACACGGCAGAACCAATACCTCTGCAGTGGCTGATCATTGTTATACTGCAGTGGGCTCGCACGATATTATTTTTTCGAGACCAAGGTACTCTGCAAACCTTCGGGCTACTATCAAAGATTTGTCCATGAAGCCATCCAGATATATAAACACAGAGATAATTTCAACCGAGAAGATGGGAATAGCTAAGCAATCATTGGAAGGACGTTATTAACCAAGCAAAGTCGTAACTTGCTGTGGTGCTTCCATCCTCCCTGCCGTTTGGCTGTTATCTCCGACTCTCTGAGTTGCATTGCCCTGTTAGGTGCTTCTGCATTAACGGGCTGGGGTCTCACTAACATGGCCACCTCTGCTCCCTTAGCCTCGATGTATCGATGGTTCTGGCTGTGTGATGGGCTGTGTGTCTCAATGGCGCGACCACCGTTGCAGTGGTTCTCTTGCGTGGACGCGCTTGCCTCTTACAGTGCAGTTGGCAGCGCCGCAGCTTGTGTTACACATAGAAATGACATTAACTTGCTAATCCCCCTAATCTCCCTGACAAATCTCTCCCATCAACATAGTGCTAATCTCCCATCAACACTGCTGTTGTGCGCATATGCGGGGATGATACTCTTATGCGGCGACGGAAGTTCATTTCATGCTAATCTCTCTCCCTAATCTCTCTTTCCCTAACCTCCCCCATTAACACAACTGACGTGCTTGCATCCGGGGATGGAATTCCTTTCCAGCTGAGACCCCGCTTGCTTGCCATCGCCACATAAATAACCTCCTTGTTGTAACAGCTGTCTCGCTGGTTCAGCAGTTCCACTGCTGGATTATTTTTTCTGCCTGAGGATGACCGCAGGTGGTGTAGTTTTTATGACGGTAGAACAAGGGGGATTTATAAGAAGGGATTGGGATAGTCCTGATCGTAGTTTGGGGGAGGGGGGGAAGCTGAAAAGTAATGAGGCTTCGTTGCATTGGGAAGACAAAGGTGGTCGGGGAGGGGTAGGAGCTAGGAGGGAGAAGGGAGTCGAGAGCTGGGTTACAACTGTTACGGAGAGGCCTGTAACTTGGCTGGCAACATGACAGAGCCTGCCCTTGTCTCCCCAGTACTGAAGTTGACCACACCACTCACAACAGATACGCATTTTAAAATCAAAATTCCACTGCTTGATGAAGGCTTCCCTATGTAACTGGTTTACAGGATGCAAGCTCGCTTTTGCTTTAAAATACAGGCGGGAAAAGGGCGTGTTTTAATCCAGAGAATACGTTAGATTTCTTTATCCACGTTAACGTGGACATGTTTTATATGCCCTAAAAGTAATAATAAACACAATTTATAACGCACGCATATTTTACGAATCGGTCAAAATGTTACATTGAGAAGTCGGATGTGCAGAATTGAGATCATCGCATGGACATTGTTGTTGTTATGAAAGGAGCATGAACCAACCATCACAAAAACTCCGGCCATCCTCCCAGCCGCTTTTTGCAATCCATCGAACAAAGACGGTGGTCACTGCATCGCGCACTTTCAGATGCACTTCTGTGGCCGTCTGGAATGCTCTTCCTTCCGATATTATGAAGCCGCTGGGAGCGATGCATTTTAAAATCATCTAGATTGAAAACTCATTTCTTACAGCTGTTTGTTTTACTTCTTTTCTTGTCATTAGGAATGGCTGGCTACGTACAGCACGAAAGAAGTTCAACATACATACATACATAAACTGCTTAAGAGCAGAGCCAGATCTCAGAGTGTTATGTGAAAGCATATTCATCGCATGACAATTAAACATCTAAATGTTTTATTTTATTTTGTAAAATGAGAAAAAAAAACAAATGTAAAAACGATATTTTATTTAAATGCAGCCATTGGTGACTGAGCTTATAGCTCGCTAGCGCTTGAGAACCACATGGGTGGCTAAGCTGGATTCGAATCAAAGATCTCAGCGCCTGTCATCACAATTGCATGCTCTGACAAGGTAAAGATCCATACTGAGCCACCCAGCCACGATATAAAGAAAAATAGAGTGCTACGTGTGACGTTGCTTATGACAATGTCTCTCACCTTCAGAGCATTCCTCGTCCAAGTAGCGATATCCATCCTTCACTCCATCCTGAAAGCACAAATGACAGATAATGTGTCATTAAACGTGTGCAATTAAATATTGTCAAACTCGTGCATTTGGGGTAGAGGGCTGTGTCGATACATCAATACCGCGTCTCACGTTCACGATTACACGTATCAGATTACATGGGTAAGAAGCAATGTTTCTCAATGCAAGTGCAGTGGTGTATTGTCTCGTTATTCACCAACTTGCTATCCGCGATTTTGGCTATCCGACAATTGCACCTGGAACTCTACACGACTGCATCGAGAGAGATCAAGTGATGCGAGAAAGTGATCGGATCAAGTGATGAGATCATCGTTACTGCATCCTTCTACTGCGTAGCATCGTCATTATAATTGATCGTAATTTCATTGATGAACTATTATTTAATACTTTCATATTAAATTTGATTGTTTTAATGTTTATTATAATAAATTAAATTGTGATAATTCGCATGTATTTAATAGCTTATTTACATATGAATTTAAGGTAATTACTTTAAAAGATATGCTTTTCTGTAGGCCAATATCACTATCTGGGAAATGTGCTATTCACGAGCATCTCCGGAACGTATCCCTCGCGAATAACGAGGGAATAGCGTATGTTGTGTACAACTGGGTCATGGAGGGTGATGGGTGGGGGGGGAGTTGGTCAATTGTTCCATCCCCGAACGTTCAGGTTTCAGATAACGTCCGACCATCGTTTACTTCGCTGTTTTCCAATGTGATTGCCGATCATAGTGACACACCCCTTCCACGCTGTCATCAAGAGCACCGCCTTGTAACAGCACAGTACAGCAAACATAGTGCCGTCTAACGGTTGGGGATTGGCCCTTGATTTAAGTACACAGCACATTTATACAACGGTCCTTGAAAACACTGACGACTGAAGATTACTGACAGGCACACAGGTTCCCATTCGCACACACATTGAGACGCAAACTAGCCCTTTAACAATCACAAGTGGATGCATTGATCTACGTTTTGTTAATTCAGGACTACGTGAGGGGTGTATGTGATCACCATCATGCCCCAGTGCTCATGTTCATACACTGCACCGGGTACGCATGTAAGGCTAAGTTAACCAAGAGGGAGAGGGACAAGACTGCCTCAGATATCACTCACCACTGATGTTAGCTGTGGCTGGGAATCGAAGTAGTAAAGTCGCAGGGTTCGTAAAAGCAATGCATTAACCACTGCGCCACCAGTTCACGCCTCACTCCATACAAAGAAACGAATTATCCTCTGTATAGCCTTAACAGACTGTTGGGGCAAGTGTTGTTAGCGAGCACCTCTGAAGATGAACAAGGCACAATCGGGGGTGAGTGGCCAGTGCCATGCCCGGCCGCCTTTTTCTCCCTAGCGGCGATGTCTACACATCGTGCCAGGCACTGTACTCATTTGAGGCTGAGTCGACCACACAAACGCACGCACACACATTTCTGCTCAGAAGGATTTGAAGTCCAATTGTTTACGCATACCAACAACAAGTCCCATGTGGTATACCTTCATTGTTAAAATGGAAACAGTTCTGCAAAAAGCATAATTCAAATGGTGACAGTTACCGCAATAAATATGAACATATTTGGAAGTTGTTGAGTCAAAGTGTTTTTTTTTCTGCGCTCCCCTCAACCCAACCACAAACGATTTTTGTTTGAAATCCCAGGACGTTTAATAAAGGCATTTTGTGGAGAAATAGGCCACACGAAACAAAACGAAATCACATTAGAGGTGGCATAAAGCGCCTCAAGGGCATCGTAATGCGCCCCCCTCAGCGCTACCCAAGCCAATTCCAATTCCCTGAGATCGTAAATGCGGGCAGCCTTCCATGAAAAGCCCCAATTTTGTGTGTGTGTTTTTTTACGCTCAAAAACTAACGCGGAACGGCCACTCATATACATTGGCGGTTCTGAGCCAGTGTAGGAAATTACGTATTTCTACAGCGGTGACCAGTCTCTCCATAGGACTTCCTTCGCTTGATTTCATACAATGTGGTACTCGTTTTATCAACCGCCCCCCCCCCAACCTGCCACCTGAGTCGGAGATTGGGTTGACTCGACTCTCAATTAGGATTTGAATGCACAACATTCTGACGGAGAATGCATAACGTTCGGATGAAATCGTAAATGTATATTTATTTGTTTCTTAGATTTTATTTATTTCAGCAGGAAGGGCACAGTGAGCTGCTCAGCTCGATTTCATGGGTGTCCCGTGATGGTACAGATGTTATACAGTACAGAACTTGAATGTGAGTACTAACTAATAAATAACCGTGACAGCTTGATCTGAAATTTAGCAGCTTTGAGAATTCCCAAAAATATATACGCTCTGGGTGAGAGGCGTCATTCCCCTCATTAGACGCCCGGCTGGAGGTCCATCGAACCACTTAGCCCAACGCGAGACATTCCCTGTGGCTCGCACACTTACACCGCGACCTGCTAGGCGGCCATCTGCTCTGTTTTGTAAACTTGTGTGCATGAATAAAAGGAAGATGGAAAAAACAAATCCAAGTATGTAAACGTTTGAACAAGCTTTGGCTGGCTCTCATCTCTCCAATGGCTTGTCTTAGGCAACTGCTAGACATCAGACATTCGTGCGGCGAGTACTGGGTCTGTTCCATAGCATGGACACTTTGTTGACTTCCAACAAAGCGGTGCACAATTTAACGACCCAGCAAAGGGTGATGCGCTAAATCAATTCACAGAGAGGGACTGGAACTCACTCGTGACCTTCACCTTGCCGGGACAATGCTGGCACCCCGTGCCAACCTCGCCGGATGGATGTTCAAAATATTTTTTGTGTGTAATTTTTGTTTACTCAAATATTTCACCGGGAAAAAAAAAAACACGACCTAATTAAACCAGGGTGTCAATTAGCATAATACAAACGACATTTGTTATGACACCTTTACGAACAATCTAAAACATATTTGATAGGTTCAAGTTTGTGCATTGCCAAAATATACGTGCGGGTGTTTCGAGTGTTCTGCAAACATTTGTAATAGCTCTATACGTAGTAGATTACAACAAAGACAAAGTTCCCCCATACAGCCTGAACAGACTGATATGAATGAGCACCTCTGAAGCCTGCCTGGTCACATTTATCTTCCCATTGCTGATGTTTACACACACCGCACTGGGTACTCATTTGAGGCTGAGCCGATCAAGGAGAGGCCCATGACCGATTCCTATAATCACCACTGACTGGATAATAGCCGTGAGTGGGCATCGAACTCGGGTGGCTGTGTTCGTAGTGCAGCTGCACTAAACCACCGCACTACTGCTCCCCACAAAACAACAGACGCGTACACATGCATGCGCTCAAGCATGCACGCTCAAGAGACCATGAAACATACTGGTTTAATTAGGTCACCACCAAGCACTTGCCCGCATTACTGCAAGTCGTCATCGCCAAAGCATTGGGGGCTGTTTTGAACTTTATTCAATGCAGGTTCCTCGTGGCTACGACATGAGACACAGCCACTGCTGGATGGGATAAAGAGAACGTGGATTGAATTTAATGAGTGACAGTGGAAGGGAAACATGTTTACGTTCTCCAGGGGTCACGTGTTGTGTATAATCATTTTCTCCGCAAGTCTCCAATTTTGTCTCGCTGCCCAAATGACCGTGGGGATTGTGTTCGACGAAATGTTTCTGGGCCCGAGCTAGGAATGGAAATTCCCCATTACTTTGGCACGTGCCCGTCTATCCATGGAAAACCAATGCTAATATCCACCAACTAACTCATTGTACGAACCGCTCAGGGATAAGCGGATTTTAATTTGCAACAGTTCACTTGCAAAAACGGGCGTCCTAACCACAGTGCCGACTGGCCGGATACGAACACAGCAGTGACAATAACAACAGCTGTAATCAACAACGATGAAATATTATCGTGAGTTTTAAACACAAATTAGGTTTTTAGAAACGTCCAAATGTTATTCTTCATGTGTTTACAAATGTGGCCTGAAGAACGATAATGGTAGACACATGAGTGATACAGTGGCGTGCCGCTCTTCACAGGGAACGAATGAGCACTGTTGAGTTGTGGCGACGAGACACTTCTCTTGAACGACTCCAAACGCACGCATGTCTGTGGTGTCATCCACCGGAGGACATTCCCTGGCAACATCAAACTCTGCCAACAGATGGAGTTCCAGATGGTGTTTGCTCTCATTTCTTCCGTATGGCTGATGTTGATGTAGAGCAACAACTACAATCTCCATTCAGGTGGTCAAGCCAGATAACAGCGCCAGGAACAGCGGAGTGTGTCGCTGTGAAGTCTCCTTCAGATTTGTGGATTGGGCATTGCGTTGTTATATGTTGTACGGTCTGTTCTGGATGACCATAATCGCACACTGGAGAGTGTTTAATTTTCTATTTGTGCATCAGATATCCGAATCTGTCATGGTTTGTGCTAGTTGTGGTTTCGGATGGACCATGAGCTTCGTGAAGGATCAAAACCATGGAACTTCTGCGTTGGTCTTGTAACACGACCCTGACAACAAAACTGAATAACTACAATTGCAACCTACAAATAGGGCCCTTTGTCAATCCACTTCCGAATTACGGCCTCCCCATGGAGATTTGTTTGACAATACTTCACCACGCTGTTCAGCATTTGCTGGTGACAGCATGGCTGGGCTGGGGGGGGGGAATCGGTCCCATTCAAAATGTAGCTGTGGCCTGGAATTGAATTGGTCTCGTTCAAAATGTAGCTATGGCCAGGAATTTAATAGATCCCATTCAGAATGTAGCTGTGGCCTGGAATTGAATCGGACCCTTTCAAAATCTATCTGTGGCCAGGAATTGAATTGAGGTAACAAGGTTTGCAGTGTAATGCATTCAGCACACAAGTTGTTCTTGTGTACGGTATTTAAAATAATTTGATGTAGCCCAGGTTGCCCTTGAAAAAAGAGGCATTGTTTTAAGTGCCTCAACGACACTATATTCCATCTTGTTAAATAAGGGATACTACTACATATAATTAAAAAAAAACATTTACATT